CGAGCCTTCAATTTTTTGGATAAGGCAACAATGTGCAGCAAAAGCATCAAGAGATACAGTGCCATAAAAGGATAGAGGACAATTCAGGGTCAGAACATTTCAGACAGAGAAATGTTCTGACAGAAAGATTTCAGCACAGGTTCTTAAACAGAGCAGACACCAGTCAACCTTTAATGAAAGAGTGGAATTAGAATGTGTCTCAGAGTGAACATACCAGGAATCTAGTGCTAACATCCTCAGGGTATTTCTATTTGAACCAGCTCTCAACTGTCCTGCAAAATAAATGCAATATTGTAAACAGGACATGTCTACATACAGTGTACACAAGTATTTCAAAACAACAAATAGCATTTATTTATATTCTCTATATTCACGTATGGAATAGGGAAGCAAAGTTGTGATAGAAATCAGTTAATTTCATTACGACAACACAATGATGAAATAGTCAGGTACAAGACATCCCTACTAAACCTAGCGTTGTAGCCCAAGCAATATTTACTCTTGATCAAAGAGAACTGCAGAAAAACAAAGCAAGTAGTTTATACAAAGTGCGATAACGTTGTAATTCAACCAATCTCTGGGAAACACCCTATCTCAATTAACTGGGAATGTCTGTAGATCACAGATTAGAGAGATAGGCATCAAATGTAGCAGAACCTCCCTTCAGGTGCATCTTCTGTTGTCTAGTACTGATAAGCAATTTGGACTGGACCCAATTTGTAATCATAGCCACAGTTTCACGATTCATTTACTTCCGATGGCCCAGTGGCTAAAGACACCAATTATGCCAGCTTTACATTCGGGGATTATGTTCTCAGGCAAATTCAACTCTAGTTACAGCTCATAATAATAATATAGCTGAAGCCGGTTAAGATGGACACATCGAGGACGCCCGTTTTGTCCGGCCTAAGAGGCGTCTGTGGTTAGCCGAAATACCATTCCCACCCAGCAGAGTAGAGCTCCCAACGCCGTATGGTAATATGTAATAACATTGTTTCACTTGAAGCAATGATAACTAACCAATTAAAGTTAAAATACACTCACACAATTCAGTAAAATATATTTAGTTTTGTTTGGCTGCAAAATACAGTACAATAGAATCTCACTCATTTGGTCACTCAAGTGACTGGGCAAAAGTGACCTACTTTGTGAGGTGACCTGATTACTGAAACAGGTCGGGTGATTCAGACCACTGATATAATGTTAAGGGCATTGGTAATGGGCAAAGGGGATGAACATTCAAAAACCATACTTTGCAATCTCATTAAAATAAAGACATTGTCACATTTAAAAAAGCCGTCATGTATTCTGCCTACCTTTTGAGAATGCAATCAAATTAAAAACTAAAGGGATTAAAGGATATGGGGATAGGGCGGGTAAATGGAATTAGGTTAGTAGAGCAGCCATGGTCTTATTAAATTGTGGGGCAGACTCGAAGGACCAAATGGCCTACTCCTGCTCCTATTTCTTATGTTCTTATGTTCTTAATTCATTCAACTTGTGTTCTGCCAATGCCGTAGATCACAGATAACTGTCTATGACTTTTGCCCTCACTGTTTTTGATTAGGTCCACTCTGTCACGTAAGGTCAACTCCTTCCGCGGTGCCAAGTTTACAGCTCTTACCAAGAATTGGCCACAGGAGCTCAGATTAGGCTGCGGGCGTTGGGCGAAGTTGATTTTCCGCTCGTGCCGCTTCTGTGATGCTAACACTCCCCCCGCGCCTGCACGATCGAAGCCCACTCCGGCCACAGTAGCAGCGTCGAGGAAACAGCGCAAAAAGCCCAAGGCCTAGCACACTGTGTACTGTACAGGGTAAGTGGGGGGGGGGGGTGTGGGTGGGAGGTGTTGGACCACGTTTGAAGCAGAGGAGGACACTGCAGCGACCGCAATCAATGACCATTGCCCTGAGTGGTGAGGTGCCTGGTTTACTGAAGCAGACAGCCAATCGTTATTGGGTGGGAAGGGGACATATCCGCGGCAGCCACGAGGTGATTGACAGCCCGCAGCCACTTGTGAACGGATGGGCTCCACCCAATCACAGGCAGCTCAGCTGTCAATCAATCCGGATTTCCTTCCCTTGTTCTTCCCTGTTTCTCCGCCTCCTCACTGATTGACAGCCCAACTCCAGCTGCTTGTGAATGGCTGGAGTCCGCTGTCAATTGCAATTTGACTCCTCCCTTCCACATCCTTTGTGGAGTCCTGTAGCTCAGTGGTTGAGCACTCGCTTTGCAAGCTAGAGACCTGAGTTCAATTCCAGGCAGGGCGAAACCTTGGGCAAGTTTCCTTACTCCACACGACTAATAATAATCCCTCCAAAACCAAAAACAATAATAAATTGGTCATTTTCAATCTACGACTGTTTGTGGGACATTGCTGTGCGCAATTGGCTGCCGCGTTCGCCCACAAATATACAGTCAATTCACTTTACAGTGTGTTCCGTGAAGCGCTTTGGGACGTCCTCCCGACGTGAAAAGCGCTATATCAAATGCAAGGATTATTATTATTTTATTATTATTATCCTGGAGTCCCTCGTGGCTGAATGCAGCCCCTGGAGACACACGGAAGCCCGAGTGAGTACATTCGGTGATGACCAGCGCAGCAATTTGGCCAGAGTAACCGGACTTGCAGCCGAATCAACAGGCATATTTAAAACAAATAAGGATACAGATGAATCATTGGAACGTTTTCTACAAAATATACAGTCAGTCCAATTTACTGTATATTCTGTGAAACACTATGGGACGCCTCAACAATGTGTTTAAGACACTATATCAAATGCAAGGATTATTAGCGTATCTTTCACCTCAGGAGAACATCTCAATGTGTTTCATAGGATACACTGTAAAGTGTAGTATATGTGTATTTTGTAGGCCAATGCAACATCCCACAAATAGCCATGACTAATTTTATTTGGGAGATTGCTGGCCAGGACACCAGGAGAAACTCCCTTCTCTTTTTGATTTATGCCAAAAGATCTTTAACGTCCACCAGAACAGGCAGATGGAACCTTGGTTTAACATCTCATCTGAAGTTTGGCACTTCAAACAATGCAGCACACCCCCAGCTCTGCATTGGAGTCAGCCTAGACCATACAAGCTTCTAACTCTGAAGCGAGAGTGCCACTAACTGATCAAGACTGATACAACTCAAACTGCCATTTCTCCCCATGCACCGACAGAAATTGTAAAAACCCTACTCAGAACCAGGTCACTACCTGCTTAGAGAAGACCAAACTCCTTATGAAAGCAACAATGGTGAGTAAGTAGACCAAATGATGTTCTGTGCACAAATATAGTGCAATGACGTCAGATGTTTGCGCACATTCAACACTTCAGTAGAAATCACCTTTTGCCATCTGAACTTCCCAAATGACTCTAGGAGAAAGCCAGAGCAAGTGACCAAATATTTAAACACATATCCCACCCTCCGCTACTATTATTTGGAAATAACTTTCTAATAATGTTTTATGTACGTTTATAACACTTTTTTTACTGCAACTATCCTTCTGGGAGTTGTGCTGAAGGCTCAAATGAACAAGTGATTTGCAAATATTCATGATAGATAAAAACTTAACAAACAAAAGTCTGGCAAACACAACCCAAGATCAGTTCTAACAGTTCTAACAAAAGCTGCCCTTTGGCCCATTTCAACTCATTCTTCCAAAATACCCACCCTGCCATCTTCCAATCATAACATCAAACTTTTTTTTAGAAAAGTGAGCCCCACTCTCTCTCTCTCTCTGACATTGCCCTCTTTCTCTCTGACACTAACCCTCTTCGATACTCTCTCTCTTTCTGACACTCGTTCCCACCTCACTCTCTGACTCCACTTGTGTGTATGTCTCTCTCTCCCTGGCACTTCCCCTGTCTCTCTCTCTCTCTCTGACATAATAATAATAATCCTTGCATTTAATGTAGCGCTTTTCACATCTTCTAGATGTCGCAAAGCACTTCACAGAATAGACTATAAAGTGAATTGACTGTACATTTGTGGGTGGAACGCAGCAGCCAATTGCACAGAGCAGTGTCCCACAAACAGTCGTGGATTGAAGTGACCAATTTTTTTTTTTTTTGAGGGATTATTATCAGCCGTTGGAGTAAGGAAACTTGCCTAAGGTTTCACCCTGCGGGGAATTGAACCCAGGTCTCTTGCTTGCAAAGCGAGTGCTCTAACCACTGAGCTACAGGACTCCCTCTCTCTCTCTCTGACACTACCCGTCTCCCTCTGTCTGGCACTTCCCTCTCCCTGACATTCACTCTCTCTGACAACTCTTGGCTCTTTTGTGTCTCTCTTTGTGACACTTCCCCCATCTGTCTGTTTTCTCTCTCTGACAATCCCTCCACTCCTCTGCATCCCCCCCCACCTCTCTGACCTCCTCTCTCCTCACAACAGTGCCTGATGCCTTCGCTCCTCCTTGTCCCCTAAATCCTCCGCTCCACCATCGGCGGCCGTGCCTTCAGCCATTACGCCCCGAGGCTCCGGAACTCCCTTCCTCGCTCCCTCCATCTCGTCCTCTCTCTTCCTATTTTCAGGGATCGGCTGAAGCCCTTTCTTTTCAACCGGGCCTTTGGTCACCTTCTCCCCCCCCCCTCCCCCTGGCTCGGCCCCAGGACCCGTTACTATGAAGCGCTCTGAGACGCCATCCGGTGTGGAGGGCGCTACATAAATCCAAGTTGTTGTTGTTGTTGACACTCTCTGTCTCTCCTCTTCTCTCTCTCTCTGACAACACCCCCCAACCGTCTCTCTCTCTCTCTCTCTCTCTCTCTGACACTGCCTCCCTGTCTGACAACTCCAACTCCACTTGTGTGCGTCTCTCCCGTTCTCTCTGGCAGACTCAGCTTCTCTGTCTCTCTCTGACGCACAGTCTTTCTCTGACAGACACTCTCTACCTCTGACACTGTCTCTCTCTCTCTCTCTCTCTCTCTGACACTCTCTCTCTCTCTCTCTCTGACAGAGTGTGACTCTCTCTCTCTCTCTCTCTCCCTCTCTTGACACTCACCACCTCCTTGGCTCGGCTCGAGAAGCCGCCCTTGGGTCTGCCCCGCCTGAGGATCTCCTCCCGCGGTTCGGCGCTCACTCCCATCGCTTTGTTTCTCGTTTTCACCGTCTTGACGCTCGCTCTGAACAGCGGCGTTATGTCGGCCGCCATGGCTGGTACCGGTTATCCCCTTTGTCATCTTCCTGCGTCCAACCTTCGCCGCTCCTGACAACTGGCTGGGTGCGACGTCATCATTCCGGACGCGCCAGGCTCCGGTGGCAGGGGTGAAACGAGCTGGCGCCTGGGGTGCTCAATTCGTCATCAGATCGCGACCTTATATCAGGAGCCGTACAATCGGATTGCGTAAACGTCATCAATCCGTTACCTCGCTGGGATCCTGTCAACACGACACAGGTCCTGTCAGGAAAACATCCTCATTTATCACGGTGACGTTTCACTAACCGCCGGCAATAAAATAATTGAACGTCACGAGCCGTCGAAAGGTAGACTTGTTGTGTGTCTTCAACTGTGTGTGTAAAAAAAAATTGCAGAGCTTGTGAAGAAGAAAATGGTGTCTGACTGTTGCGCTGCTCACATCAGTGTGGACCAGGAGGACGCCTGTCCACGTGGCGTTGCCAAAGGCGTCGCCATAGGAACGGGTTGAGTGACAGGTGGGTGCGGATCAGCTCAGGCATCACTGAACACCATAGACATAATAATAATAATAATAATAATAATCCTTGCATTTGATATAGCGCTTTTCACGTCAGGAGGACGTCCCAAAGCGCTTCACAGAACACACTGTAAAGTGAATTGACTGTATATTTGTGGGCGAACGCGGCAGCCAATTGCGCACAGCAATGTCCCACAAACAGTCGTAGATTGAAAATGACCAATTTATTATTGTTTTGTTTTGGAGGGATTATTATTAGACTCTGTGTGGAGTAAGGAAACTTGCCCAAGGTTTCGCCCTCTGCCTGGAATTGAACTCAGGTCTCTCACTTGCAAAGCGAGTGCTCTAACCACTGAGTTACAGGACTCCATCAGGGTCTGGACAGCTCTCAGTGCTTTGCTCTTCACCTGAAGGTGGATGCCTCAAAAGACTTTAAAAGATGATAAGCAATTATGACCAAGTGAATATTATTCCAGCGCTCCCGAGGTGCTACCCCACGCGAAAGACTTTATCCACCAATAGTATGGTTTGCGTTCGGTCTATTACCTTTCGCATCGAGAGGACGTCCCAAGGTGCGGCACAGGATTTACTGTCAATTGCAGTGACTATGTTTTGTAAGTGACTCCAGCAGCCAATTGCTGCACAGAGCAATAGCCCACAAAAAGCCACGAAGGGAATGACCAATTTTATTTGGGGAATCAGTAATAATAATCCTTGCATTTGATTTAGCTCCTTATCACATTTTTGAGCCGTCCCAAAGCGCTTCGCAGCCAATTGTGCACAGCAGTGTCCCACAAACTCGTGGATTGACCAAATTCTTAAATTTTTAAAAAAAATTGAATTGATTCTATCATTAGGGAAGGAATTATCATTATCATTACAGTATGTTCGCTATCTCCTGTTCATTCTCTTTTCAACCCTTTGAATCCCTTTGAGTTTTAAATCTTTTCTAACTGCTCCTGGTATAATATTGCTTAGAAAAAAAATCACTTGTCACTATATAATTTAAGATTGCATATGCGTGTCAATGCATGGGGGAGGGGATTTATGTGTTTATGTGGGAGGGGGAAGTACTGCACTCCAAAAATATTTTTTTCAATTATTACCCCCAGAAAAGTGATCCGCCAATCAACTAACAACCGGGTTCCTATTTACTGCTGCATAAGCAGACATGTGGAGTAAGGAAACTTGTCCAACGTTTCGCCTTGCCGGCATAACGTTTCGCTCTCATGGCTATTTGTGCACAAATTGGCTGCTGTGCTCTACACATGAAATACTCTGAAGCACTTTGAGACGTTTTGATGCTATATCATACAGACATATTATTAAACCATATTTTTCAATATATTTAAAAAATAGGAAGAGTAAAACAAAAGAAGGAATTTAATAATTACTAATGTAAACAGTTTTAAAGTATTTCATATTAAAGCAATAATGATTTACCTCTTGGAAATGGGATCTTAACAACAGCAGCAAATTACATTCGTGTAGCAGCTTTCACATCAGAAGGTGTCGGAATGCGCTGGACAGTCAAGGATTTGGGTCTTGGGACAAGCCTTGAAGGAGGCACAGGAGGGGGTGAGGTAAAGGGAATGTGGGATGGAGTTCCAAAGGGTGGGGGCAAAAAAGGCTGAAAGCCGGACCGCTGATGGTGTTGTTGACCAGGTGGGGGACATGGAGCAATTGTCCCTCTTCCTTGAGGGGTGGTAGCAGAAACTTCATTACCACATACAGACTTTGGGAAACGTCACTGAGAGAGTCTCGAGAACAATCTAGTCAAATGGACAGTCACCGAGAGCATATTATTCCCAGCGTTGAATTGTTACACAGAAAATATCTTAATATAGTCTCATATGTCCCTTAACCAAACTGCCGGAACTTGTCACGCTTGGCTATTGGTTTCGTAAACGACCAAAGAAGTCTTGGCTTTGGATATCTGTGCAAAGATCTGTGCATCTTTGCTTTATGTATAAGTTATGTATTGTAATAGGGCCTGGCAAAATCTGGAAGATTCTTGACCTGAGTACTCACAATTTAACCTGTGGAACTGTTTAGACATACAGTAGTTTGAATGCCTTATCTTCTGACTGTCTCTGATATGAATTGAAGAACGCATTCCTTAACGCTCTAATGAGATTGGAAATGCACTATGTGTGCAGAATGCGCATCTGAATTTATGCAGATGGCATAATAATAATAGTAATTCTTGCATTTGATATAGCGCCTTATCACGGCGTTGAGATGTCTCTTAGTGCTTCACAGAATATACTGTAAAGTGAATTGACTGTATTTTGTGGCCAAAAAATGGCCTTGCATTACATTAATATGGATTCTGAAAGCCCTGTGAGTGCTCGCAATGTTGGACATAAAAAAGGAACCAGTCTGACAAAAAATTTCTCATGATTTTCCCTTTTTTGATGGTATGATGATGACATCCAATCTTATTAGAAACTGCTGTAATTACACATGATTACATGCATTCAACTTTTTGATGGTTAAATTGGTCAGTTTATTTCCTTTCATTTTACTCTTTCCTTTTATTGCTCTTCTCATTTTCTTCGAAACCATTCAACGAGACCTTGTGGAATAGATACATAACATGCTTGTTTCCTCCGAATTAAGTTTCTTTTATTGCCTGTCTTATTTTCCATTCACTGTTCTTTGTCGCACAGTCTGGTGTTTTGTCCGAGGTTCAAAGAAACAAAACTCCATGACGCTGGCAAGCTGCTTCTTATGCCCCGAGGGAAGATTCCATGACTCTTGAACATTAAAAGACAAAGAGCAGATATTTTATTACATAATTGAAGAGTCAACAACATTTGACATTCATTTGGTTCATTTTTCATGCTAAATTAATCTTATTTAAAATAAAAGTACTATACTACCTCTGATAGCTTGCTTGTTCTTTGTCACCTCTCGCTTGTCTTGTGTTAGACTGCTGTTTGGTCAATTCCTTGGACTGAAGTACATTGTATTTGCATTATATTTTTCCTTCTAAATATGGACCATTATTACTGCCTTTCCTCCCAGTCTGTTTCACTGGGCCATATTCTATTTTAAACAACCTTCACTTATAGAATCATGAAAAATCATATCATAGGATGAGACCCTTAGTCCATCAAGCCCATAATGCTATCACCTTCTCTCACTGGAACAAACTATTTCAAATCCAATTCTCTGCTCCTTACCCATATCTTTTCATGTTGTTCTTCTGATGCTTTTCCAATTAACTTTTAAACATTGTTATGATATTAGCCTCAAAAGCTATTGTGTCAAAGAATTCTGTGTTCGAATAACCTTTTTGCCTTAAACACATTTTTATGTTACTCCAAAGTGGCTTCTGCTTTGTAATAAATGCACTGCAGCTGTAAATGAACTGGTCTTAATGTAGCATATTCTATTGGGTGTGACAACACCCTGAAGAGAGAATAGAGCAACATATTCCATTGGGTGTGAGAACACCTTAAGGAGAGAATCTCACACCACTCCATTAGCAGTTTAATTACAACTGGTGCAAAGCCAACTTTAAAATGAAAACTATGAAAAGATCCTTTCTAGTTCTCACATTAATCATATCAACTCTTGTGCAACTTTAGACATTTCATCAGCAATTGGAGACTGGCGAGCAGAGCTCATCATTTGTATTTGAAGTACAGTATCCGGAAACAACACTGCATTTACTGAGTGGAGCTACCCTGACTTCCTGCTACCCACTCACACCACTGAGAACACGTTACCAGCCTAAAGGCTGTACCATTCATGTGAATTCCAGATTTCAGATTTCAGTTGTTGTTAAATCATTTTCAAAATTAATAACAGCATTTGACAAAATACAATTCCTACACTCTTCAGAAAATCCAATGAAATGTTTTAAGATGTATTGACAACATGATAAGGCATTTTATCAAATGCAAGGATCCCTATTATTACAATAATCTGACCTTTTTGCTTGAAGTATAAATGCTTTATCAGCTATCAGGTCATTTGATATGTTGATTGATAAAAATTGTGATCTTTTAGTTATTGATTATGATGGAAATTCTATCTGAAATAAGGAAATGTTATGAAAAGCTTGTTAAATTTATCAATTGGCATACAATCAACCCCTTCATATATGATGGACTCACACTCACTTTTGATAGGTTACATCAAATATTTGCAGGCTACTCAACGGCAAGTCAATGAACACAGAAATTATCCTACAAACTAATTAGATGGATTAATTCACGAGCAGGATAGTGTTGGGTGGATCCTTCGATAAAGTCCATGTTTGATGATTTACCCATTCCTTTGCTTGAAGCTCCCGCCAAAGATCTATCCGGTTAAGCATCTTGCCAGTGGAATACTGAATGTGACTCTGAGTCAGAACTTTCATACAGATCGTTTGTTATTATTCAAGATCAAATGACTCAACATTCCTGTGTTGGATAATAGCTTCAGTGACAACGAGGTCAAAAACAAATATTCTATTTTGTATCTTCCAGTCGGCCAACTATCACATTGTAATATTTGTGATTGTGGAATTGTGAATTGCAGTCAAGCAAAGTTTGAACAAAGGCGAGCAAGCAAATA